TCCCACACACACTCGCACACATTCCCACACACACACACACACACACACACACACACACACACACACACACACACACGTTCTCTCTGCACCAAGGAATTCTCCAATCCCATCTCTTCCCCTGCCAGTTACGAGCTTTTTCAACACTGTTGTCTTCGCCCTCCTTCTGCTCAATGCCTTTCATGTCGTTGGCACCTTGGAATCCACACTCCTTGTCTTCACTTCTCTTCTTGTCCCAATAGACTGTACCAACCAGACCTGCACTATCATCTTCCCTTTCTTCATCCCCAGTCTTCTGATTCCAACAATTTATATCATCATCATCATCACCACCATCATCACCATCATCGTCACCATTTTGAGGCCATTCCAACGGTTCCAATGATTCATTATCCGCTTCATTATCATTATCCCCAGTCTTCTGATACCAAAGATTCCAACCATTGATATCACCATCATCATCATCATCATCATCATCATCATCATTAACATGATCATTATGATCATCATCATCATCATCATCATCATCCTCATTATCATCATCATCTCCCCCTGAACTGTGAATATCATCCCGTGTATTCCTCAGATCGACATCATTTGCTCTCAATACCTCACCATCACCTTTTTGAGGCTGATGGCACTGCCCTATCACACAGGCCCATCTTAGTTCACACCCACAGTTTAAGCACCGCACGTTCAACTCCAAGAGAATCCCTCCATTGTTTCTTCACACTATCCTTAATCTGCCAGAGCTCCTGGTTCTTGCTGTGGCTGACTGACTCTCACACGAAGACCTCAAGGCAAAATTGTCAGTAGGTATACCCACGATACTGGCGGGAGACTTCAATGCTGGTCCGGACCGTTGGTTGGACAGGTGGAAAATTCCTTCTCCATGCCCGTTTTACATAGAGAAGGACGAAAGGATGATCACGGACTTATCCTTGAACCTGTTTGACACATTTCGGAGGCAACACCCTACTAACCGAAAGTTCACCTGCTTCCGCAAACGCGCAAGAGCGGCACTGAAAGTGCCACGAAATCTCGTATAGACTTAATCCTAATCTCAGAAGAATTACAGGGAGCTCTTCAGTTAGCAGAAATCTTCCCTCGTAGCCCCTACCCGGGGCTGGACCATGCAATGTGCATGGCCATCTTCTCATCAGAAAGAAACCGGACCAGGGCAGAGGGTTCTACAAACTCAACACATCCCCTCCTTACCATCGATCGGTTCAGAGCCTACCTGAAGGAAGTGTGGTGCTTCTGGCAGAACCAAAGGGACCATATCAATGACGATGTCCTATGGTTCAACAACGGTCTAGCCTTTCTAGGCCACAAGTGCAACGAGTACTCAAAGTTGATTGCAGCGCGACTCCACATGGAAGAAACGAATCTGCAACACCAACTACAAACACTACAGCAACAGGAGGACGAAATACAGACTCCGGACCAACAGGCTGACTTAGCCAGGACGATCCAAACCCTGGAATCCCAACTCTTAGGCTATATGGAACACATATGGTAGGGAGCCAGGATCAGAGGCAAACTAGCCAAACACAATACAGAAGGGGCAATGGACGCACGATTTTTCGCAATGGCCAGGGCTAAAACAGGGAGAACAGTAATTGAAGCCGTGGAAGACCCCAACCAAAACAAAGGGCCCCTTTTCACCTCCACTGCCGCCTGTACGAAACTCGCAAGAGATTTCTACCAACAACTCTTTACCTCGGAATGTGGCCAGCAGAGAAGAGAGGAGATCGAAACTTTCCTCGCGCCGCTTGACAAAACACTTTCAGACCAACAAAGAGACACTCTAGATCAACCATTATCCAAGGAGGAAATATGGACGGCACAAATGCAAATGGAAGAGGAAAAAACTCCGGGTATTAATGGCCTACCAAAAGAATTTTGGGAGGCCATGTGGGCGAGTATATCACAGGATTTGATGGACTACTACAATGCGGTATGGAATACAGGTCAAACAGGGGAATTGGTGGGGCAAGGGGTGCTGACTCTCCTCTATAAAAAAGGAACAAGTACAAACCTACGTAACTATAGGCCCATTACCCTGCTAACGGTGGTCTACAAAATGATGGCCACGACACTTGCAAATCGACTAACCCCAGTGATGGCCGACATCATACACCCCGACCAAACCGGTTTCATCCAAGGCAGAAACATCCAAGACAACGTTCTTCTGGTCAATGAGATGATCAAGCTAACAAGTCAATCTAAGGCCTATGACCATGTAGATTGGCGCTTCTTAGATATGTGCCTGGCAAAACTCAACTTCGGGTCTTCCTTCAGGAGATGGATAACAATCCTTCACGCCAACGCAACCACCAGAGTTATGGTAAACGGCAACCTGGCCCCACCCATAACCCTACAGCGATCAGTCAGCCAGGGTGACCCAATAGCCCCGTACCTCGTCGTCATCATTATGGAAGCGCTTGCAGCCAATATGAGAACCCACAAGGATATAAAAAGGATCCAAATCTCAGCACTCCCCCAGGAGGCCATCCCAGTATGCTCACTTTTCGCTGACGACCTAACTCTGATGGTGGATGCATCAACAACATCAATGGAAGAAGAAAAAAACATGATGGACCGCTTCTCGCAATATTCAGACATGAAAATTAACTGGGGAAACAAAACCCAAGGATGGTGGATACACCACCAAGGGGTGAGGCCGCCAAAACACCCCCGACTCAACTGGCTGCCGAAGGAAGCGCCCATCAGAGTGCTGGGGATCTCAATCTCAGCAGAAGGCAGGCCACCTTCCAATAATGAATGGATTACGGGCCCACCCTTGGCCAAAATGACGCTTTGGAAGGACAAACACACTTCCCTGTTCGGGCGCTCCCTGATAATCAATAATGTGGTGTTGGCCACATTGTGGTATAAATCAGCAATTTGGGCACTGGAAAAGAAGGACTTACGGCCCCTGCCACGGCAGATAACTGTCTTCCTATGGAGAGGTGACCACAACAAACAGAACGTGATCAGCCGGGTGGCGTGACACTCCATTACTCAGCCCAAAACAAGAGGGGGCCTGGGCATCATCGACCCCTTGCTCCAAACAAAAGCGCTAGCAATCCAATGGCTCAAACGCCTGCTTTTCGACCCGGAGATCCCATGGAAAAACTTGGCCCTAGAACAAATGGCCCGTCTGGCCCCACAAACATCGAACGTCAAGGACCCCCTTATATGGCTAGAGAACAGAGAATGGCCAATCCCAAGAGCAAAAGGGCGGCCACAGGACCGTGGCCTAGAGTCCCCAAGATAAGCAGCAAGGTCTGATCTGCGAAAGGACCCCTTCTGGCCCAACCTCCTGAGAACATGGAGAAGCCTCCCCCTCCCAGACAAATGCCCACCAGACAGATGGGAAGAAGTGGCACGTCAACCGCTATTCGGTAATAGATGGGTGGTGGATTCAAGAGGCCAGACCCTTCCCTGTATAGCCTCCCCCTGGCAAGGTTGGGTCTCCAGAGGAATGACAAGGATAAAAGACATATGGGACACTGCCAAAAATGACTGGATCAGTCCAGACCAGCTAAGAGAGCGATTACGATACTGCCACCGGCCCCAAGAAGCTCTGGACGAGATCGTAAAAAAAATCCCGCTGGAATGGTGGCGGCTTCTGCGCAAAGGCCCGTGACTGCATCAAACAAATTGGGTAGCGTTCCGGGATCTACAAGGAAAGGTAGGGAACGTAGTATGCTGTCATCCTGATGGAACAGTGGTGGTAAGCCTTTTTCAAATAGGAAGAGGTAATGTCATAGAAAGGAGCAACCCAGAGGAGACGGGGACGTATCAGAAAGACGAAATCTTCAGAATCAGAGTCTTAACGGAGGAGGAGCAATGGATAGCCTTCCTCCCCTCCACACCAATCCACTATTTGCCTCTGGATCCGGTAGAATGGAAATGGACAACACGCACAGGAAAGGGCAAGAGCCACACCAGGACCCTGTATAGCCTGACACTTAAATCTACCTACCGACTTCTCAGGCCGAAGATCACCCTCCGGGATCAAGTCGAGGAGCGATGGAGAAACCAGTTGAACATTAGCAAAGAGGAGCTACGGCCCATCAAATGGTTTAGCTCGGCCAAAATGAAAACCCCCAAATTCGCCTCGCTCCAATGGCAAATTGAATACCGCTGCCTGCCAATCAGCAACTGGCTCATAGACAGAACATCTCTAGAACAGAAAGGGTTAGCCCTACCCTGGTGCAAGCTGTGCACAAATACATTTCCGTCCAGAAAACGGCCAGAGACAATTGAGCACATATTCCTACAATGCCCGGGCGCCCTCTGGCTGTGGAGATGGTGCGACAAGATGTGGGACCAACTTCAGACAAAAATGACGTGGCCCTGGGACTGGAGGGCCCTGCTATATGAAGCCGAGACCGGGCGGCAGGCCGACCCCCCAGACAAATTTACCACCAATATGTTTAAGTTGGGACGCAGGGCGGTCCTGTGGGCATTGTGGCGACGACGATGCACTTACGAGATGGAAGGAGCAAGATTAGACGGGGCTGAAATTACAGAGAGCGTGCAACAACAAATCCAACTGGAAATAACGTCAAAATGGGAACAGGTCGGAGCACAAATTCGCCCTCTAAACACAATTAAAGACATTGAGCAAAGAATCCAAGCGTTCTCTTCAAGCTGGCTGGGGGGGATCACCGGTGGGAAGATAGGGACAGTGGAATGGAAGGGGGCCAAACGGGAAGAATAGGAGGGCCAAGAGAGGATGGATATACAAAGGGACTACCAACTGATTTTCCACAACTGGACTGACATTGACACAACTATTCCACTGAAACCCCCGAAAAACTTCCTTGACTTCTTCCCCCCCCCCTTCAAACTGCTTAGTAGGAATGCAGTGGTACGGAATGGACGATTGACTGGCGGTACAAAGATGGGAAGGGAGAGGGTACCAGCTCTTGCTGCAATAGAAGGGAGAAATGAGGACAGGCAGCCAATCCAGTCAGGCGCCCAGCAGCCGGGTGAAGAGTCCTCAAGGTTAAAAATGTGTCTTGCTCAGTCAATTTTCGGACCTTCACTATAATCACCGCTGACAGGCGGACATTGGAACACTTAGACACAGATATGTCTCCAGCTCATTGGCACCAATTCCAAAACCAAAAACACGAAGGAGGGAGTCAGTAGGTAGCAGTAGAAATCTGCCCCCCCCCCTGCTCCGTCAATCCCCTGGTCCCCAGGGCAATCAATGGGGGCAGGCTCCTCCTACGGTTTCTCTTATATGTTCTGATGTTCCTCAATTGTATCATACTCAAAGGGACGCTGGACCCGTTTTCCAGCAGGTGACGCTCCCCACCAATAGATGGAGCCATCCCCGGGTGCTAGCGGTGTCTGCTCGTATCAGCATCACTAGCACTGGAGGGACAGTTGAAAAAAATAAAAAAAATCTAACATTTCGATCCTTATTTTTCAGCTGTTTATTATTTGGCGAAGAGGGATGTCATTGATGGTTCAATGATCAACCATGAAGCTTTGCCCCACTACTCAACATTTGACATCATGCACCTTGGCTTCCAAAAGGTCCAGATGCATGCAAAAAGTTGTGAAGTGGAGCCAGGCCCTTTGTGTACAGAAGAGCTTTAAACCACTGCAGTACTT